TTCAGTTCTTAACTCCATATACCAGACCCACACTTAAAGCATTATAGATCGTAAGTGAATCCACTTATCGGAGTTACGTTTCAAGCTCTTTCCTTTTATTTTAGTAAAGCTCTTGGGGAAAGCTGTGGGAAGGCACTGAGCAGCATAATGAGTCTATTGCTCCAAGCACTTAAACACCAAACCACAGAAATGAACTCAACCTGTAATGTTCCATATGTCCTCACGATACACGTGGTAAAATCTTTATATCCGTTCATGAAAGCATAACTTCTTAAATCATGTGTTTTCTGAGAAGATAATAGTCCATATCACTTTGAATTTTTTGATGGACAAAGCACCTTTGACTCCTGAAAATCTAGGTATGAGTTCTGAAAAGGATCTTGACACCAGTGAGTCCATTCGAGTCTGAAAAGGATCTTGACATCAGTGAGTCCATTCGACTCATTTAACAAATGATGAAATCAATGCCCGGAGATTTAAGCGATGTCCTCCAGCCCAGGGGTAAGCAAACTTTTCCTGTAAAGGGCCAGATAGACATCTACTCAGCTCTGCCATTGTATACTAAAGGAAATACTTCGACCGATGAGTAGAGCTGTGTTCTGATACAACTTCATTTACAAAAACGGGTAGAGGCCTGGACTTACCCTGTGGGCCACAGTTTATCTGATCTTGATCTAGATCGCACAGCAGAATAATGTCAGAGCCAGGCCAGACCCAGCTTCCATGACTGGCTGTGTTTATTTATTCACCTAACTAACACCTATTAAGAGCCCGCTGAGTGCCAGACATGAGACAGGATGATAGGGCATTCGGGTACAGTTGATTGACTCCAAGTTCAGATGGTAATATTTTGTCTACAGGGATAAAATTTAGCAGTCTCCACTAATCGTGTCTCAAGAAAACATCTCCAATTGGAGATCAAATTTCTGATCATGGAAATTATCTATGGGACACGAACATCTGATCCCCTTTAGAGCTAATAGCATAATCCATCTGCAGTCATAGATCCCTGTTCTCAAATGCATTGGCGACCGGATAATTCTCTTATCAGAAATGAGCCATCAGAATTTCCAGGACCAGCATCCCCTCCCAACCCCTGGGTCACGAGCGTTCCTTTCGAATTCTCAGCATTCGGCTCAACGCACAACCACCCCATCCTTCCTAATAGTGTCTCTGCCAAATGAAATCTTGGGGAGACACTGGTTCCAGAGACAAATGAGAAGACCGGATCCAAAGGGTCAGGCTCAAGTGAAGCAAAGGGACAGGAGAAATGATGCATCATCCTTCGAATCTTTCTATAAATATCTACCAGCTCCAACAACATTCTGGGGATATAGGAGTGAGCGGTGGGTCCTGTTCCAGGGGGGCTTAATGTTGCGGGGGTGAGGGAGTGGCATTAAACAGATAGCGATAAGTCCTGTGAAAATAAATAAATGAAAGTGAGTCATGAAATAGAGTATGACAGGGGCCGAGGAGAGAGAAGTGGACTGTATAAAACACAGTGACCAGGGAAAGCTTCTTCAAGAGGGTGTCTTTTGAGTCAAGTCCCACGTGAGGCCAAAGAGCCTGCCTCATAGAAATCACGGAAATAAAAACCACCAGTTCAAATGTCCTGAGGCAGGGACTTGTTTCGTGTGTTCATTGCGGTCAGACTCGAGCAGGCAGAATGGCGTGAGATGAAGTCAAATCAGAAGACGCGGTGGCTGCGACCCCTGTGACTCAGTGTCTATGAAGCAGCGTTCGTGCTCCACGGGGGTACAGGATAAAAATCTCAGCACTTGTATTTAAAAGTATTTTTTGTCTAAAGTAATAGGAAAGAAATTAATAGCTCATATAAAGATCGCCACTGGTGCTCTCTCTCAGTCAAGATGTCTGAAGCTCACGAACCAGGTGTGTTACTGGAAATTTCTTGAGGGAAAGGAATTATCGAAGGGTCTGTCAGGCACCTGCATCACTTTTGCAGCTTATATGTGAATTTACAACGATATTCTCCGCTTGTAACTAAATGAACCCTCACACGAAACACGAATGACTTAAAAAGTTCTGCGCAAAAAAATGAAGGATTGAAAGTGATGTAAATAACGCAAGCGCAAGAGAAAGGCAAGAAAAAATAGAGTTCACGTTTTTCCCTCTCCTAGTACAAGTTCTTTAGCAGCGACGAGTCTTGGATAAAAACAATAATGGCCTAATTCAATACTTTCAAAAGTGCCTGATTTTCCCAGTTCACAGAATGATTCAGTAGTTAGACACATATATGGACATGTAAATATATCCCGATTTAGAGACACAGGTACATAAGTAAAAATAAGAGATTCTCGAAACTACTTATCAGTAACGTACTCTAACATTTTCCCTTCTGTTTTACTGAAAAGCGATATTAGTTAATATTATCATCCACCAATAGGTTGTGACACGTAGCTTGAAAAATACTGGTACGATCAGTTCCGATGAGAAATCAGCCTCACAAAATCGAAATTAAGAAGACTGTCTAAACGTGGATTAACATCCTGTTGATCATCAGTCTCACCACGAAAGTGTATTTTCTCCCTTAGAAATTGGCTAATGGTAGCATGAAGTCATCACGATTGGCAACGTATTTTAAAAACCCATGAGACAACACTTAGTCCATTACTTTATGAAATTTTACTAAACTTGATGCATATTTAAGTATCTTTTAAGAGCTCTTAATACATTAATTCTTAGCATTCATATAATTAATTCATATCATCTGTAAACATACATACATAGACAGACACATGTGTATATGGACAGCCTTACCATTTTTTTGCTGAGGTGATGTAAGTTTGGAGATCACCACTGTCGCTCACAGAATTTGTCTACTCTGGACCTTCAGCAGCCATCGGTGAATTTCCAGGTCCCCGCAACTGAGAACTGTACTTGTTTACTATGTTTCTCCTGTGACTGCCTAAACTCAGTGTTCATGGTCCTTTATTACCTGAACTGGTAGCTTGGAAACTGTATCTCCTTTGTGAGGTCATTCTCTCCAAAGCAAGTGATTGACGGACATAAGACATCATAAGGTCAGGCCACAGAGTAGTTATTCCTATGCCAAAGCCTTGTATGAACTGGTTTGTTTTGATTCAACTTTCTCTATAATCTGGGAAGCCTTTTAGAAAAATCAAAGGGTCGGGCCTGGTTAGTACTTGGACAGGAGACCACCTAGGAATACCAGGTGCTGTAGGCATTAAAAAAAAAAAAAATAGAAAAATCAAATGTGTAAAAGGATCTGGTGTGTCCCAATCGCCACTCAGTTTACGGTTACATAATCTGCTCTGGTTAAGAGAATTATTGTTGGAGAGAGAGAAACAATCTTGGACTAGTCATATTAGATATATGGACCTCGGTCAATGTCTTAGCTTCTCTATGCCTCAGTTTCCATATTCATAAAATTCTGAAGATATTTACCTAATCCTATCATAAGAATTAATTAGAAAATCTATGGAATGGCCATTAGCACAATCCTTGGCACAGAAGGAGCGCTCCATGAGCTGTTTCTATCACTGCTGCTATTGTAAAAATTGTCTTTCTTGTGGAGATTTAGTTCCGAGTAGCACATCTTTACATGACGTACACCGCTCACGCAGATGTGCTTTAAAAAAATCAAGTCACACATTTTCACATTCACGAATAAGAAAACAATGCCACGCTAATGATGTTTGCAAGAAAACTAAAACAATCTTTGAGTCAAATCAGCACTGCTGTGTGGGTCACTTTGTTTCTGTGGCCACTAGGTCAACTTTCAAAATGATTGCAAACACTCACCTGAATTTTTCAAAGATGAAGATGAAATGGAAGGGCGGGGTTTAGAATCTTGCATTTTATTGTCCACTCTCTGGGTAAAGTTAGGTCATTAAGTCGCTTATTTTTTTCTCTTGGTCTGTTTTCCATCCACCTGTAAGATAAATCATATCTGGTTTTGACTATCTTCTTTGTACAAAACGTGTTATATATTTTTAAAAGACAGCGTAATTCACTCGGTTTTACTCATTGCAAGAATACTTCTCCTGGGAACATCACGAATGGATGTTCTGCTGACTTTACTACTTCCACCATCCTCAACTTAAATACCGATTAATGTTATAAAACTACTGGTAACAGTAAATTATAAGACTCGTTCACATTTTTCTGCACAAGAACAAACATTTACTAGAGAAAAACCTATTTTACTATAAAAGGAAACACATTTTACTAGAAACGGAAGTCAAGAATGCTGACAAAATCAAAGAGCGATAAGATCAATGCAAAGTGTCCATTAAACTCCTCTCGATTTTGGAATGCATCTCTGTTTTTAGGGGATTAGCAGATAAGCGGAAGTCTTCATGGATAAAGGAGACATCAGTTCTCTAGAATATTCCCAAAGCAACAAAAGAATGACGGGATAGTGTTGCATATAAAGACGAGAGTCCTGACTACTTTCATGTTTGCTAAATAACCCCTCAGTCACTCGGGACGAAGTACATGCTTTTCCCAAAGGATACCAGAAGCTCCTAGTGTCCAAATGTGCATACAAATTGAAACCCCTGGCCATTTCCCTTTCTCTTCTCCTTTCCCTATTCAAAGACTCAGCTTACTCTCCTGGGCTCTCGCATCCTTTAGGTGGCTTCTTTTGTCTTCTGTCCTCGCCCTTCAGGTATGTCTGACTACCTGCTTAGTGCTGTCAATGCAATGCCAACCACACCCCAGCTTCTCTCTGCTTCCCCCCTCATTCTTTCGCCCTCGTGAACTTTCCCAGCAGTCTTTGTTTATTTATGACATATATTCCCAGCAGAAGTTATTTTCACAGATCTGTGCAATGTAACTTGCCAAGGCCGCAAAATGTGTGGAAATCCAGCTTTCTCTTTCTCTGCCTCTGCCTGGCAGCCTATTGTCTCCCGTTGGCATCTGCAGCAAAGCCGCAGCCTAAAGTTGTGACAGTCCATGATATCCAAGGCAACGAGTGGCAGGGTCCTAAACATAGAATTACTTCAGTGCAAGACAAAGCATCACACGAAGCTGACGAACAGACGAACAAAGCCCATGCTTTAACATACGTCTTTATTAATACTGAGTCAAAGTCATTTCCGGCTGTCATAAGAGTTCTTTCACAAATTAGGTAAAGAAGGAGCATTGTAAATTAAGAAATTGTATGGCCATGTCATAATTCATGATAAAATGTATTAGAGGGACACCGAGGAGAAAAAATAATGGAGAAAAGAATTTCTAAGCAGTCTTTGTCAAACACTTAAGACATCATTTCTTTCTAAGTCAGGCGCACTAAATTGGAGGCAGAAATTATGGTTTTAGTTTGCATTAACTAGAGTTGAAATAATGTTTTCTTTAGTCATATAACATATGACTTTAGTCATAGTTTATGACCGAACTATGAAATAACCTGTCATCACTCTGGTAATAAGTCAAAAGCTTTAAGTGACTCCCCACTCCCCACACCCAGGGTCCCCTACAGGGTGCTGTACCTCCATAATCACCACCGGATCCACAAGTAGCCTAGCAACCTAAATAAAAGCAGCGTGCTTGCCATACAAACGCATCTTCAAGTCAATTTCCTTAGCCATGCACCTTCAACCATGTTGCTACCTTGAAACACCTAGAGTTAATCCTGGTCCTTCCTCTAAGATGCAGAAGTCAAGACGACATTAAACATCCAAGGGTTTTATTAGCGGAAATGCCTGTGCAAAAAGAAATATGGATGGAACCAGGCAAGGTTACGAGAGCTGAAAGACCAACTTTCACTTGGGTGAAAGCACCCTCGATGCCCTCAATGTCTAAGGAAGGTTCGGCGAAGCTGTCTGGGAGTTCTCGAGTCAAGGTCAACCAACAAAGGAGTCTGTATCTTCTGGAACAGCACACCTTGATATCTCCTCCCCACTTGGTCACTGTTGGGGAAGCAGCTAATGGGAGGCAAGATCCAAATCAATTCCAGAGGGCAGAAGCTGAGGACCTGGGACAAATGCTCCACAGTATAGGAGGTCTGCAAGGTGCATTCTGGGAGCTGACATATCACTGCTATGTAGAAATTCAAAACCGTACAGCTGTACAATAAATCTTGAGCCTGGCGTCCAAATTTCCCTGATCTCCACCTAACCTATGTGTAAACTTTAATTTCTAGCTCTTCCTTTTTTGATACCTCGGCATGAATCCAAGTTCTTCCTTGGTCCTCACGTGAGCCCCACAGGTGACCAAAATGCTGTCCCTCGCGCTATTTCTTCCCTCTAATATTTCCCCACCTCAAACCCTACTTTCAAGATCCTACCTATTCTGTGGAAGGTCTATCTAAAATGCCAAACCAATGAGAAGACTGTCCTCAAAACTCTTGCCCGCTACGACCATGTCACCTTGAATAAGCCCGATCTCGTCTGATCTCGGTAGCTAAGCAGGGTCGGGCCTGGTTAGTACTTGGATGGGAGACCACCTAGGAAGACCAGGTGCTGTAGGTGTAAAAAATAAAAAATAAAGGATCGTAAGCTGACAAGGTCCTTGCAATCTGTGAGGTCAACCAAGGGTTGCCTTGCCAAAAACAAAAACAAAAAACGAAAAACAAAACAAAACAAACAAACAAACAAAAAACACAAAAAACAAACTCTTGTCCCCACTCCATCTGCTCGGCCCTTATCCTACTAGAAAGGTTCTCCTCCACCTCAGAACCTGCGTGGGACTTCACCTGCGTGAACATGAGCGCTTAGAGTATTAAGCATTTTCTGCTGGCTTTAGTTGTTATCAGTTTTATAGCAAACCCCAGAAGGACTGCACACACTTCAAGTTTTTATTCCTGTAATATTGTGCAAACATTAAATTGAATAAGTACATTAATTAAAGAAAGACAGATTCTGGCCTGGTGCATATTTATCGACCCAGGACTAAAAATAAAACTAAGAAATCTTCTTTATTTCTTATTTTCATGTTCGTGCTATTTTTTAAATAAAATAAACAGGAACTATGAGACCAAAAGTAACATCAATTTGAACATTCGAGGCAAAAAATCCAACAGACCTCACCCTCAGAAAGGACACCATCGCCGCTGCAGTCATGGAAAAATTCTCACAGTATAATTAGCTGACATAGGAAATTGACCCAATAAATGACTTTTGTGAGAGATTTAAATATAAGATCCGTTAAATCAAACAAGGAGGTTATTAGACTGAGGTGGCTCTAATGCCGTAGAGGCTATGTAAGGAAACCAAAACCTAAGCCTGGAAATGCCTCAAGGTTACAAAATTGAAACGCTAAGGACAACCAATCGCTAACAGCCAAATAGGCTTAAAGCTACAGCCAATCAATAATTTCTTGCCTGGCTTCCACCTTTTCTCTATAAAATCTCTTTCCGAGCTTCTGATCACTTCCAGTTCGATGCTGCCCTTTGAGCTCCCTGCTTTCTTGTTGCCTCTGGAGGCGGTGGGCCTCCAGAGATCCCTCTCGAATCCCGGATCTTAGATCCTCAGGCTTTGCATTGCGATCTTTCAGACTTCCTTTGAACGTTTCTTTTTCCAGACTAGTCTGGAAATTGCTGGAATTGGATTGGTTTTCACTTAGAAACTGCACTGGGGCCAGCATGAGGCCTCAAGTGAATAACATGTTTTTTTAAGGTTGAACAAGTAGATTAACCTTACCAAAGATAATCTCGAATCACAGTGGCCTCAGTGGAGAACTGTTAACCATCTTATATAACCTTATCCATTTCCAAGGTGCCCTAAAGAAAAAGGACTGTCAGCCATGCGTGACTATAAAGGAGAGTGACTAGGACGAGACCCAGTTTCTGGTGACTAGGATGAGGCCTGCTGGGACACCCCACTCACTCTGGAGCCCACAGGTGGCATCCTGTGCAAACTTGCAGAAGCCAGTGAAGGATACGAATTCTTGCATCGGCTCCCCCAGGTCTCTCTACCTGTGGGGCTGGATCAAGAGACGGAAGTAGTTTCACATTGTCCCTTCCTTTCCAAATTCAGATTGGCAGGGGAAAAAGAATCACTGGTTATTGATCCTTTCTCTTCCAGGGGCAGCTACTGCCTTCTGGTTTGTGTCATTTTGTGTCCTGAGAACTTGGCTTGGAAACCATCAATTTGGGGGCCCCAAAAATATGGCTGGATAGAAATCTGGGTTGCGCCTCATTCGTGGCTAGACGTGGCTGGGCAGAAACGTGGGTTACACTTCATTTGCAGCTAGGGTCCTCCCCACTGTTGCAATTCCCCAGCAATTCCAGCTCTCAGGGGAACTGACTTGTCTAAGTCTCTTTTTTAGGGGTCATCTTTAGGTGCTGGATCATGAGAGGGTAACATCTTTGAGGACCCCTCTTGGGTCCATGGAATTGTTCAGTCCTGCTGGAAATACTTATTGTTTGTCCAGGCTGAAACCTGACAAGACATTCTAAAGGATTTGGTGCTGCTCAATTCCAATTGATTTTTGCTCAAACTCTTAACATTTTTAATATGCCTCTTTTTATCCTTTAACGATCCTAATATACTTCTTCCGCTACTCTAGCTCCTCTTTCTCGAATATCACTCATCTCAGATCTCAGTGTCAACCTTCTGTTGTAGTTTTTCGCTCTTGTTCACCTTTGAACCACACATATCCACAATTAATATAAAGAAATAAAATCACTAAATGCCTTGAAGTTGTTTAAGCGCCCCATAGCAGAGATATACTGCTTCTTTATTTAAAAAAAAAAAAAAAATTTAAATACTTTGTGAAAGAATCTCAATTGAATTCAGAGTTTTCAATTAAAATTTACAAATTGATTCTACTCTTATGTGAATAAAGAATCTTACAAAATTTTCAACCACTATGAGATGAAGATTAATCAATAATAATCTTCATCTCCAAGCATAACCAGGAATCTGAAAGCCCTTCAAACTCTTTCTACGTCATCAGCAGAGATGAAGGCAACTTATCTATTCCTTA